TATTATATAAAGCTTATTAAGTTTAATGAATAAGATAAAAATTTCATATTAAATCATTAATAGTCACTATCTAATTTAGTTGACTAAAGAAAATAATAAGCGCTTACATGTTATATTTTAATATCATGAAAAGATTAAACTGAATCTCATGAGGTCAAAGCTTATATGTAATTTTTATATTTAAATGGGAAAATGTCTAAATAAATTATATGTAGAAAAAATTGTAATTATTGAAAATTTAATTTTTGCAATACAATAACTTTTGTTAGACTACTATTAATAATCATTTTGCTCTTTAAGTTATATATTTTTACATTAGAACCTCTCCTTATAAAATGATGAATTTATTATATAATAAAATCATGATGAAAAATAAATTACAAAGCCTCTTTTAATTGATTGCTCTGATTAAATTGCCTTAGAATTTCAACCAATTACATTGCCAACTTGCTTTATGAAATAAATGGAAAAAAAAATTATATTTCACTGCTAAAGATCGCAAATACTCTATCAGTTATAAAACCCTGGGGATTTATAGTCTAAAGGATATAGTCAGAAGAACAAATATATCTACTTGGTGAAAATGTTTAGAATTCCAGCCACAGAATTGTTGCACAAACCTTTCACCCCATCACTTTTACAGAAGAAGTTAACAATAGGTTTTCTAGATGCATAATTTAGTAATAATCAACTTAATCTATGATTATTAGTACTCAACTCCTTTAAGCCAAGTTGGGGAATCAATAGAAAGTGCAGAAAATTTAAGGAAAAGAGAAAATCTAGAGACTTAATGGATATGTTTAGAGTAATAATTCACAGAAACATTTGATGGTATGGAACTTTAGTTTGGAAGAATAATTGTTGAAATTCCATGTATCATTGGTAATTTAATCCGAAGAGCACTAAACCAAATGAATCTGCAAGAATAATAACCAGAATATTTGAACTAATACAATAATCATTACAGCATTAATTCTGTTTGTAAGTTTGGAGGGTTAGATCCAAATTACGTTCTGATATACTTTTATTTTTTTCTAACTTACCCATCAATAACGCACGTAGCAATTAAATATAGGAATATAAGCAAACGAAGCTTACTTATTCATTATTTAATGCAATTTTTACTTTAGTTTTTCTGTTATTAATCAATTCGCTCTTTTAACACTTAAAAATAAAATGGGGAAAAAGAACAATATTATCCTAATAATGAATTATATTGATCAAGGCAAAT